AGCTCATTTTTTTGAGATTCTCTGTCTTTTTGTTCTTTTTTTTATTTTTCCCTTATCCGTTAAAACCTTTGCGAAATGGGATTTTCCAAAAATATTATGTTTCGGGCGCCGGCGGGGAGTGGATTTGGAAACATTTTAAAGCCGAGCTGCCCTTCACCTTCCCTTTTGCATTCCCTCTTTCACTCCCTCTCTGCCAGCGTCTCTCTCACTCTCGCCCTATCTTGCGCAAGAAGCTCTAAAATACCAAATTATAGCTTTAATACGATGATTTTGTGCCATCAGCTGATGCTCCTGGCTCATTTTGGCGTGTTTGGGCGTGGATGACCCCTTGTTTATATTTCTGCCTTGACACCCCTAGAGGGGTCAAATTACTACCCCAATGAGCACAGAGACACGTAGACATCATCCCAGAAACTCTTGATTTTGCTCAATAAATTTCCGTAATTTTGCAATTTTCGGTTTGACAAGATGAGAATTGACCCCCGATCTTGGAACTGGACATTTATAAACCGGGCCAAAACACGGTCAGGCTGATCTCTTGGAATATAGCTACTTTTCTCGCGTAAACTGTACAGTCTCGTACTCAGTCCTGATTTGACCTAGAATCCCGAACCATTTGCGTTCCGTGCCATTCCTCTTCTCACGCACCATTTTACGGCCCATAGACGAGTCCTGGGGTACGAACAGATCCACAGGAAATCCCGAATCGAATGCCGTATAATGCCGAAGGGATGCGTGCTAATGGAAAAATCAGACATTACTTTAACAAATATTTGACGACAATCATAAAAATGTAGCTGTCGCTATCCCTTTAAACCCAATAACCGCTTTGAGGGTTTTTGCTTCAATCCAATTGAATTTTGCTGTGACGCTCCGTTTAATTGCGAAAATCGGCCAATTTTCGATTTTTTTTCGAGCTATGACTTCTTATTGAAATCTTTTTTGAATCTTGACTGACTCATTTTTTGAAATTTTCAGCGTCGAAGCAGCTAGATTTAGCTCTCATGCTCCGCTAGAATACCGAAAAGACGACGATTGCGCAAACAAGTCATTATTTCCGATGTACGGTTACGGATGGCACGCACGTGCCGTTAACCTTAAAAAGCATTCGTGGTTCGGGTTTTTCCTAGCTGTTACTGTCCCTTCAATGCCATTTTTGATGGTTTTTCCAAACATTTTCTGGATTAACTAATCCAAATCAAGCCGACCAATTGAAAAATGTCTGCTGTCTTATGCCCAATGTTCTTTTTTCACGACCGTTCCACCTTTTCCAGTGTAGCGAGTACGGGATAGTACCCTTTTTACCCGCTCCCCCAACTTTACCTGACCCTTCATTTCGCGCTTTCACGCGCTAACGCGCTAACAGTGTGCAAAGCCCCCCTTTCAGCCCCATTCATTTACTGATCGGTTCACGTCTGGAGGTGTCAGTCGGCTCACGCCGCCCACAAAAGGAGAGCGATAGAGAGAGGAAGAGATCACTCTCTCTCTCTCTCTCTCTCTCTCTCTCACTCTCACTCTCTCTCTCCGCTCTATTTGATGGTTCTCCGTGACCGAGGTGTCGCTTTGGGAGTGTGGTGTGGGGACCCACATACCCTAAGGCTACGGACCCAGGGCCCCCGGTCCGCCCGAACAGATTAGAATCGGCATTTTCTGCTATCAACTCCCCTCTTCCCTCTCCGAATCAATCACATGAGCCGGATAAACGGTTTACGGTTTGTGGCGTCCGGTTTCCGCTTCCGTTTCCCTCGTCTTCTTTGGGGCCCGGTTCGATTTCTGGTTCGATTTCTGGGCACTTGGCAATGTGTGTTTGATCGAGATCGAGGACTAGCTGTTTTTGCGTCTCGATGAGTGTTGATCAACTGCTATCATTTGATGATGTCTTCCGAAGCGCTCTCCTTGCTTAAAATGAATTAATTAATCGGAATTAGCATTCCGATCGTTTTCAGCTCCTTACTGGGTCCAAAAACAGCTTTAAGTAGTTTTGATGATTCCAGAAGCCGATAACTCCCGTATTTTACGGTTTTTAGCATTTGAACGTTTTACTCTCTGGCGCACACTTGTCTTTTTTATCGCTCGCTCACCTGGCTTTCAGCTCTTCAGCTTCAGCTCATCCGTTAGCTTCAGCTCCAGTAAGCCGCGAGGCAAGAATGCGTCTTTTTATGGCATCTGTTGCAACCGCTAGATCTCTCTTACTCTCTCTCCCGCTCTCCCCCGCTCCTATATATCCTTACCTTTCTCTACGTCTATCTTTCTTTCTATCTATCGCTCGCTCTCTGGCTCACTCGTTTTCTCTCTCTCCCTCTCTCTCTCTCACGCTCTCTCTCTCTGTCCACTCTCCCTTTTTCTCTCGAACTCTCTATCTTGCTCCCGCTTGCACTCTAGCGGAACCTCTGAGGCATTTGAGGGCCATTCAAAGTCTCAAAGATTTCAACACAAGGCTTTCAAAAAATTTGAGTCCAGACGATAACGATTCTGACGTCTACCGTACCTCAAACTTGAACTAGATCGGCTAGGGCTTCTGCAGTCGACTTAAAAATCCGTTTCTCTGATTTTTATGGACCTTGGACCCGGGCAAAAATCCATCCTAAAGACGCATAGAAGAGGCCGAAAACACAGCGCGCCCTTCCCAAGTCGTTGTTCTTGTGCTGTTTCGAGGGGATCGGCTCGTAGCTGTGGCCCCTACTCTGTCTCTCTCAATCCCCCCACTCTCCCTCCCCTCCGCCTAGCCCTTCCGCATCCGGATCATGCCTGTCTGTCTGTCCGTCTCTGTCCGGCCATCCGTCCGTCTGTCCAGTGGATTCCAGCGTACACGGCTCGCCACTTGAACCCCGTCCATCCTCACCATCCACCCCACCATGCACTTCCTCTTGTCCGGCAAGGCCTTCGGGCCCTCCAAAAATTGACTCCACTCCTGAGTTTTTAGGGTTGTAGTGGGGTCCTAAAGGGCCTTTGCTAGCTTACCAGGGTTCTATGGATTTTCTTCAAAAATCTCTGATAGTTTGCCTTGAAAATAGCCCTCTTGTCCTCCCAGGCATGTCTGCAAAAGCGTTTTTCTTTTCTGGTTGACTATCTTCGTCTTCGAGCTCCTTCCTAAAGAATCCTGCTAGCTTGAACCATCCCAAGGATTGCTCCAAGCACCTCTGCGAGCCTACCCGGCCGTCAAGCCGACTGCTTTGAGCGATCTCGCTCGATTACTTGTACTTTTCTACCACCTGTCTTGATGCTCGTGGACCTCCCAAAGAATCTCTGCCAGGCTGCCTCGATCCCAGGCCCGCACAAAGATTATTTGCTACCCCGCCTTGCCCATTCTTTTCTCAAAGCATCTCCGCTTAGCTTGCCCAGATCAGATGTCAGATGTCAGAAGTCCTTGACCTCAAGCCTTTTCCTAAAGAATCTGTACTAGTTGGCCTAGTTCCCAGGTGAGTAGAAAGAGCTTGCCGAGCTACTCTCAAAATTCCTCTGCTAGCGTTGCTTGAACCCCCGGTTTCCCCCCGCTTCCTAGGTTGCCTGAAGTCCAGGCGGCTTTATTCGATGAATCTCTGCTAGCCTGTTACAGCCTCAATCCTATTAGTATGTCGTGCGTCCTGGTTTCCTGAAGGGTATTTGCTAGCTTGCCTCGAATCACTTGCGATTTCGACCAGCCCGTTCTCCCAAAAATAGTTGCTAGCGGTATCAAGTCTATTGGAAACGCCCCGCTTTTCTCAATAATTTCTCCTGGCTTGCAAAACGTATTTACGGATTTTAAAGATTCGAAGTAAACCTACCGTAATCACTTTCGTATCTCCCATCACTTCCATATGACTAAAACCCTTACGGAAACTTGACGAAACCCGTTGTTCCGATCGCTTGAAGGCTTGCCCAACTTTCCGCAACCATCCTCTTTAGGCTCCAACCCCCGATTGTTTGTCAATTTCATCAGACTAGGAAGTGTTAGACCCAGCTGTCATCTAGTATTTCCGGTTTTAGCCACAGTTCTTCCGAAAGAAAATGACAAGAAACCCGCATTTTTTTTGAGAAGGTCGCATTGTCAGCTGGTTGTTGATGAACGCACTCATATTCTGGGAGTCGGGCATCCGGTCCTACCATCTTTCCTTCTCGAGCTGCTGCCAGTCTACATTCTAGTCATTTATTGGCAGCTCTTCGCTCCCCTAGGTCTACTTTCGAAGCTTCAAATCAATCTACCGGATTGACGACTTTTAAAATAGCTAGGAAGTGGCAAAATCGACCCCTAGCCACAGACCAGGTCTCGACAGTCTGCGCGACGCTCTTATAATTTTCTCGCTTATGCCCGTATTTTGGGGTGTCGCATGTACACCTAATCTGCAAGAGAAATCGACTATCCTAATCTTTTTTGAACTTTTCTTGAAGCCTCTGAGTAGCAGCAAAGTATACCTTCCTACCCGGTATAACGCCTCAAAAATTACTTGAAGAAGCATTCCGATCGCTACGAAATGCACCGATAGCTAAAAAAATCAGGTGTCTACTGATGCGTAATTTGGGGGCTAATCGTAAGTCTCTATGCTCGGTGGAAAGAACATTCATAAAAACTTTTTTGTAATTTTTGCTATTTATTTAGCCTATTTTTTAATCGCCGTTGACTTTTGCCGTATTCTTTTTGGCACGCTTTAGTGATGTTTTCTTGCTCCTTTCCGCTATCCTGAAATGTGCATTCGATTCCTCTGCTCTAATTCCGGTCCAGTATACCTTCCGGACCCATAGGATCAAGGTTACGTTACACTGCGATTTGCTCTTTTTTAGTGCATTTTCCGTTTTTCCTGTTCCCGTTTTTCTTGAATTCAGAATAACGAACTTCAAGGCGGTTTACCTTGCTTTTTCCAAGGATCGCACCCCATTCCGCGCGAGGCCTGTGGACGAGCGCTCGATTCCAATTTACGCACCGCACGCCGCGTACTCCCGCGTTGCCAGCTGGGCAGTAGAGATACCTCGCGGATCCGAACAACTATCCCATTGAGGGCAACAAATAGAATCCACCCCCAGAAATGCGGCAACTCGCCGCGCTGCCTTTTCTTCCGCTGATTCTTCTCTTTAATGCAGGTCGGTTTAACTATTTTAAAATCTGGGCCAGCCAGAAGATCCAAAGTTAACTTTTTGCTTTTTAGCCCTATCATCAGTATTGGCACAAGGCCAAGAAGACGACAGCGCCTACCATTTTTCCCCGGGGACTGGAGGACGAGCAGCATGGGTTGTCGATCAGGACAGCCTGCCGTGGATCGGATCTTTTGAATATTTGAGGTGGGAATTGTCATATTTCTCTCTCCTCACTACCTCTCTCTCTCGCTCTCTCTCACTCTCTCTCTCTATCTCCCACTCGCTCTCTCTCTCGCTCTCTTTCTATAGCTCTCTCTCGATGTATCCTTTCATGATTTGATTTTTCTGCCTTACTAGGGAAGTGCAAATAAAAAACCCAGCAAACCGCTTAGCAAAAATATGGGTCTGATAGAGTCGGCGACGGGGATTCCGAAACTGCAATCAGAATTTGCTAAACGCTTAATACAAAATAGTTATGAGCATTTTAAGTTTTGTACTAGATGCTCCGCCCTCCCTTATGAGCCCCTCCCAAAGGCGGGTGTCCGCCTGTCGAGTGGTGTAGTGGCTAACTAGCATGCCTCTGGGGCGGAGGGCCTCTGGTTCGACTCCCCGGTCATGCAAAACTTTTTGCTTTTTGGTCAAAGTCAACAACTTTAGACTTTTTCAAAGTTTCGAAGTCCGAAATTTCGATTTTTTAAAATTTTCTTTCTTATTGACTGCGTCTAGGCCTGCCTTACGAAAAAATAGCAGTGAATTTTTTAGTGCCCTATCCGCAAGAGTACTGACACTCCCGCCACCACTTTGCAATCAGTTTCATAAATTTAAAAATTAAGAGAACGACCTTTTCGACTTTGAAACTTTGAAAAAGTCTAAAGTTGTTGACTTTGACCAAAAAGCAAAAAGTTTTGCATGACCGGGGAGTCGAACCAGAGGCCCTCCGCCCCAGAGGCATGCTAGTTAGCCACTACACCACTCGACAGGCGGACACCCGTCTTTGGGAGGGGCTCATAAGGGAGGGCGGAGCATGTAGTACAAAACTTAAAATGCTCATAACTATTTTGTATTAAGCGTTTAGCAAATTCTGATTGCAGTTTCGGAATCCCCGTCGCCGACTCTATCAGACCCATATTTTTGCTAAGCGGTTTGCTGGGTTTTTTATTTGCACTTCCCTAGTTAGTATTTACCGTAGTTTTAGCTTTTTTCATGGTTACCGTTTTTCTAGGTTCGATTCGTGATTAAGATCGTTTTAAAGGAAATGACAAGCTCAAAAATCGACCCTTTTTATCGACTAGGTGTAGACGACTCCACACGGCTCAAGAATACGCGTGAAATTCCTCTCGCAAGGGATGCGGAAATACGCTTAGATTTGTCATTTGGATTCTTGTGTAGTAGGTCACACCTAGTCGACGGCAAGGGCCAATTTTGTGCCTCCGGATCCCTTTAAAGCAGTATTTCACGTAACGTAACATTGTGCTACGCCACGATACCTAACGGTACCTTTTAAAGCAAGCAAGTCGTGATTCTTAGGCCTTAAATAAGACCGGAAGTAACCTGAAACCCCTGCCCGTTACAAAAACACCCAATTAGTGCCTAAATAGCGCCTCTTTCTTTACTCCCCACCCTTTAGAGGTGTTGGTTGGATCGTGGTTAAAGTGATGGGAAGGCTGAAGCGTGCCTCTTGTTTATATTTTACAATTCTCTATCTCTAATTCTCTCTATTTCCCGGGATCTCTAGCCCAGAGCCCCCCAGGGCGCCCAGCACTTCTGATTGCGTAACTGTCAGTGGGTGGGGTTCTCCCTCCCCGCGGGCGTCTCGAGACTCTGTGTCAACAGTCTTCTACCAGAGAGAGCGAGGAGAAGAGAGAGGCGCAGAGAAAAGAGACAAATAGGGGCTCAGAATCATTCATTCCACAAGACACCTTTGCACGCTGAAGAAGGGGGAGAAGCTCCAGAGCTATCCAGGGGAATCAAATTTATGGTGATTTGATTTGGTTTTGGTTTAAAGGGACTAGGAAGCCACCAATTTCATGAAAGCGAGAGAGGGGAGAGAGAGTGAGAGAAGCAAAGAGAGTCCGAGATAGAGAGTGGGAGCGTGAAAGAGAGAGAGAATGAGAGAGATAGAGAGAGATAGGAAGAGAGAAACAGAGAGAGAGAGAGAGAGATAGTGAGAGAGAGAGAGAGAGAGAGAGAGAGAGGGAGGGAGGGAGTGAGTGAGCGAGATACGAGAGCAAGAGACAGTGAGAGAGTGAGGTGAGAGAGTGAGAGAGAATAAGTGAGAGAGTGCGTGAAAAAATTAATGTAACTGGTTTTAAAAGATAGGTAAGCCAAAGACCAGTGGTACCTGCATTTGAAAGCCGATTTGAGGTCCAGAATTTGAAAATTGAATATCCTATTCCATTTTAAAGGGGCTTGGAAGCCAAAATTTTCCGGGGCGGGCCGTATTTCGTCGAAAAAAGCAACAACCTCAACATAAACTTGATTTCAGCAATGACAAATCGCCAGCTACCGTGTTGATGACGGTGGTGGACAGTTCAACGGGTGCCCCACTTGGAGAGTGTTCCGTTATGAATGCTGACAGTAAGTACCATTTGCTGTACCGTACCTCATGGTGAAAATAAACGTCCTTTTTGGTTCTAGTGGTTGGTGCTATTGAAAATTTTAGAAGACGAATGGGAACAGCTCATCTGGACTCTTGCGTCTGACGGGTTGACGTGTAACGTCTCCGAGACCAATTCTTCCAAAGTTCGATTCCCGCTCTCCGCCCATCCCCGGACATTCTCTGTCCGCATTCAATCAGGTGGGCAATTTCGCATTTTTTGCGTTGATAAAAGTGCAAATGTGATATTTGAAAAAGCTTTATCTTAGAAAATTGGGAATTAAAACTATTTTTACAGTCCGTGGCCCTCGGTGTATCCGCGAGATGACCGTGCAAAACGAGCGCCCCATCGGCTGCCCGCCCCATTTGAAGCAGAACGCGTTCACCTCGGCCGGCATGGCATGTGGATGCCCATATGTTGCCGATTCTACCGGTAAGCTAGGCAGGGCTTTCCCGAATTTTGATTTTTATTGATGGTTTTGGTTCTTCACTAGTCGTCCGCATTTTTGTTCTACAGGTTTTGATTTTTTCGTTTTTCAAGGCCCAGCTTTCCCTCTATTCCGTCTGGCTCCACCAGGTACACCTATAGACACTCATTAAAGTGGAGAAATGCGTGACGTGCCGATCCTTAAAATGCAATCCCTAAAACCTACCATACCACCATCCACACCCTCATAAACATCCGCGTGTAGTGCACACTGATCGAATAACCTAAAATCGCATCAAATAGTGTTAGAAATCCTCATTCACTTATTAGTTTTTACTAAAAATTTACAGTTTGCGTGCGTGTATTGTATATAATTTTGGTTTGCCATTAACCTCACCGAATTACCGCCAATAACCAACATTTTTAGCAGAAGTCGACGGACGCGACCCAGCCTTCCCGATTTTGGATCTGGCGGGGGTGAGTCAATTAAATTTGGAAAAATCGTACTTGGAGAGAGCTAACTAGCAGAAATCATTAGGCAACGCTTTTTACTATGGTCAATATAGCCGAGATTCTTTCGAAATTCACATATTATGAGGTCAGCTAGCAAGGATTTTTAGGAATTTTAATAAGGCCAGTTAGCAGAGATTCTTTAGGAGTTCAGTTACGTCACGGAGCAGAGATTCTTTGCGCCAACTAGCATTGCCCGTTTCGAAGGTCGCCTAGGCCAGCTAGCAAGGAATTTTTAGGACTTGATCCTGTGCAGGCTAGCACCGATTCTTTAGTGATTCCCTTTGGCAAGTTAGCAGAGATTCTTGAGGAATCACATTAGGTCAGCTAGCAGAGATTTTTAGAAGTTCCCTATCAAGGAAGCAGAGATTCTCTAAGAGTACACATAGGTCAGCTAGCAGCGATACTTTGAGGAATTCACCAAGGTCAGCAAACATACATTCTTTAGGAATTCACGTGGCTGGCAGAGGGTTTTCTGGGATTCAGGCCTTTAGCAGAGATTCTTAGGGAAAACATTGATGTCAGTTACCTAGACTGTTTAGGAATTTATGTATATGAGGTCATCTAGCAAAGATTCTTAAGGAGGTTTCCTATAAAGAAGCCAGCTATTATAGCAGGACCTTTCGGGATTTTTTCAGGTGAACTAGCCAGGACTCGCTAGGAAAAGAGTCAAGGCAAGCTAGGAGAGATCCTTTAGATTCTTTGGCAACACCTCAATTTCAGAACCCCTCCCCCTCCCCCCAACCACCAGCGCAGCCATTCACGAGTGGACCCTGTGCTGGGATTGAGTGTATGAACAATGGGACTTGTGTTGTTGGAGCTGATGGACAGGTACGGAATCATTATCTTAAAATTACCGTGTGATACTCCGCTCGATTTTCTTACATCTCGAAATCTCGATTTTAGGCGACTTGCATGTGCCACAACGGCTTCTCCGGCTCGCGCTGCCAATTGGACATTTGCGCCTCGGTCCCTTGTGGAAATGGTGGAAAATGTCAGGCGACCGGATCGACGGCCGTATGCCAATGTCCACCGCATACCACGGGCATCTTGTGCGAACAGGTACGTATTTTACGTGCTTACACTTCTATGGCCTTGCGAATCCCTTTAGAAATCATGAAGTAAATTCGACTTTTTCCAGATAATCTGCGAGCCAACGTGCGCCCAGGGTGAATGCACACTTGTTGAGGGAGCCCCGCTTTGCCAGTGCAGCCCGGGCTTCATCGGGCCAAATTGTAACGTCATCGATGTCTGCATCGGGTAGGCTGGTTCTCTATTTTTTGTCAAGATCTCATCGAAAAAAAGAAGTGGATTTAAAGCCGTGAGTAGACGGTAAATTAAAATTTCAGTGACGCTGCGTGCGCAGTATTTGGCGAGCATGCCAAATGCACCCTCGATACGGCCTCGTACACTACCGTATCGCAGAAGGTGGTCAACGCCTCCTATGATTGTCACTGCCCGCACCCGCAGACCGGACGTAAGTTTTTGAGCTACGATACTTACCGGCCGATCTAAAGCTGGTTTTGCCGATTTCCAAATATATATTTGATGGAGAACTCCGGACTTTTCTTGAAGTCACAATTTTTCGGCATTTTCCGAATCGTCAGATTCCGAACCGATCCGAACAGATGAATTTTCGTCGACGATTCCAAATTATAAAACACTATAAATATTGCAATAAAGATCTAAAACAGAAAATAAACTTAAATTCCTTGAAAAATATGTGAAAGACTCGATTTCAGAATGGATGGACTGCCTGGCGCTCGTCTTGTCTTCCACGCCGCTACCAAGCGGAATCGACAGCTCGATCGGGTCAAAGGTATGCAAAGCGATTAAAAAAATGTTAAAAAACCATACCTATTTAATTTAAAAGCAAAAGACAATTCAAGTAGACTTAAATTTTTCCATGTTTGTCGCCTAAGATCATTTTATTTGATAAAAACCCGGTGAAACTGCGCATTTTTGGCATGTCAAACCCCGCTCCTAAAAAGCATGAATATTCGGCCGGACCGGTTCAGTTTTTCATTTTCTACAGGAAGAAGCTACCGTAACCACTTCCGCTTCCACCCCGACATCCACCGTCCGGGTTCCGATCGTTCCTCTGAACGCCCATAATGTCGTCACCGCCACGGCAACCCCACCACGGATCATTAGTGTATCGACAACGCCCTCGACTACCGTATCCACCACATCCGCTTCTACGGCTGCCTCCACCGCATCCCAGGTGCTTTTATCGGCTCTCTCGGCTTATCCTGGGGGTCTCTGCAGATTTGCCCCGATTTTCGCAAGCCGCATGCCGAGACTGGTTTAGTTTTGGGTATTGAAGAGGCATAAATGTGACAATTTGCAAATAGAAATCTTTATGTAAACTAGCGATTCCCGGTTTTTACAGTAAATTTCAAAAATTTCGATTTTAGTAGCTAAAAAGCTTTTAAATATAAGTTGTGTTCTTCTTTGTTCAATTATCGCTGTCCCAGATTCTACAGAAAGAGCCTAAAAATTACAATGGTACGGTAGAAAATTGACGTTGTGACACCGCTCAATGATTCGGGGACGATTTTATGTCGATTTTTCTAGATGAACTTCCTGCCATTCAACCCGAACGTCCAACCGAATCAGGTGCCCGTCCGGCCAATGGTGAGTACAAAATTGGCATATTCTGATTTCCTGAAAAATTTGACGCCGTCTCTCCCCCACCCTGTCTCTCGCTCTCTCTCAGTTTCTCTCACTCACTCTCTTTACCACTCTCCCCTCTCTCTTTACCATCTCTCGCTCCTCTCTCTCCTCTCTCTCGCTCTCTCTCTCTCTCTGTCTCTCTCTCGCGCTCTGTCCCTCTCATCCACCTCTTACAGGTCCCCTCAACGGTAATCCCCAGCGGTGAGGAGACAGAGGAGAGTGTCGAGGCATCATCTGCCCCAGCTACCGTACCCCAGGGCTTCCGTCCATTCCCTTCAGCCCCTGTAGTGTTGGGTGGACAGGGAGGGGTGACTCCATTCCCAACCCCTGCCCCCGTTGATGTCGAAGAGGAGGGCGAGCGGACCACGGAAATTGAGGAGGAAGAGGTACGGTAATTGGCACCGTTGCGTATTACGGAAAATTTGCGGATTTGTCATTTTTAACATTTTTTGATGGTTTTTAGCGTAAAAATGTACGTTTTTTGCAGAACCTTGGCGCTGGCTTCGAGACAATGACCGCTGAAAATGGGCCCGACCCTTCGCAATTCAACACGCAAACTGGCGAGCCGACGACTGGAATGAGCACCGAGGGAGAGGGTACGGTAGCTTGGACACATTTTAGGGAATTCTAGTTAGAGCCGAAAAGTTCCTAAGATTTGATAAAATGGCCTAGAACTCTTAGAATTTTAGAAACTTTTATCGCCACTTCAATGGTACGCCTAAGTAGCCATCAAAAACTTATTCGAGGATACGGTAGCTAGGGCTGGTTTTAGCAAATTTTGAAAAACACCGAAAAATGATCAGAAATTCCAATAAAATTGCAAACATTTAACAATATGTACTTTTTGTGTTTTCCAAAAAGTTACGGTACTCTACTACAAAACTACCGTAGATTGGACACGTCTTAGTAAACACCAAAAAATTTTAAAACCTCATAAATTCCAGAAGAATCCGAGGAAACGGCTACTCAGCCGGCCGCGACCGAACAACCCTTGTGGCCGATGCAACCCCACGGCAGCACTTTGCCTCCGACCGAGGTTACGGTAGGTTAAACTAGCTATGAAATATGACTTACAGAATATAAATAAAATATAAATTCAACTATGAGAATCAAAAATCCAAAATAAAAATGCAGGAATCCGAGGAGACGTCAGCCGAGACGACCCAATCCGTGTTGCCGTTCTGGATGATGTCCACCACTAGCACACTGCCACCAGCTATTCAGGTATGGATTTTTTAAATTTTTTTTGTATATTTAATGTAAAATGTAAGTGTAAAATAATAAATTTTTCAATTTTTAAGATTTTTTCGCCAGGAAGTGGATTACGGTAATTATTGCGATTTTGCGATTTTTAGCCTTCGACCACCCGATCGACGACGATTTCCACAACTGTCACTACCACAACGCCGACAACCACGACTACTGAGGAGCCCGTGTCGGAAGAGGTCTCCGAGGAGGTTACGGTGAGCGGGAGAGAGGTGGATGAGCGCGCGAGAGAGAGAGAGAGAGAGAGAGAGAGAGAGAGAGAGAGAGAGAGAGAGAGAGAGAGAGAGAGAGAGAGAGAGAGAGAGAGAGAGAGAGGGAGGAGGGAGGGGGAGAGCGCGCACGCGAGAGAGGGAGCGAGAGAGAGCGAGCGAAAGAAAAGAGAGAGCGAGCTTGAGATCAAGAGAGGGAGAGAGAGCGTAAGATAGAGGACACATGTGTGAGGCAAGAGACAGAGTCAGAGAGCGAGGGAGTGAGAGAGGGAGAGAGTGAGGGAGAGAGAGAGAGGAGAGAGAGAGAGAGAGAGAGAGAGAGAGAGAGACGTGGAGAGATGTTTGGAACCAGGGCCCATAACTCCATTTTAGCACCCCATCGAGGTAACCACCCGGGGCAACCATGTGCCGACTCACGAGCACGCGTGGCCCAAGAACACCGAGGCGCCAGGTAGCAGTTTTCAAGTTTTTTGGCATCAGTAATAGTTTGGTTTCTACAATACAATACTAGATATAAGCCTTGAATTTTACCAAAATCTTTCAGCGGAAGAAACGACAAACGGCGGTGACCAACCAGCCGGCAGCGCGAACCAGGCAAGGAGCAGCGCAGCGAGTGTAATCGTTGCCATCATTGCCGTCACATGTGAGTTTACTAAAGACTAAAGTCTTTACTATCCAACGCTTTTGGAACGGCGCATAGTTGTCTAGACTTTGGCGCTTTCTAGACTCTCTAAAATCGTGTTAAACACAGGATTCACCACCCCTTATGCCAGGTGATTGCCGTCAGCTACGTAGCGCTCCAGCTGACGCGTGTAAGCGTACATTTACAGGCGCCACTTTGTAGCGACGGGTAGTAGTGTAAACCCAGGGGGTTCCAGCGGGAGACATTAGCGCTTTTATGCTTAAAATCGTTTTAAACGCGTCGTACGCAACTATGCGCCACTCCCAATTACGCTTTCAAGCGACCGTTACGCGCGTCATTTCGAACTGCGCGTGTCTACCCCTAATCTATTGAGGCGTAGACTTTGACGCTTTCTAGGCTCTTTAAAATCGTTTCTTGGGCATGACGCGTAACGGGCGAGGCCTAGACGATTCAGGGGTAGATTTTGGCGCTTCCCAGCCTCTTTAAAACCACGTCGAACCCGCCATTTAAACTGTCGATTTTTCAGTGATCGGCCTGCTGCTCCTCGCCGCCGCCTTCTTCACGATGCGCTACGTGCGGCAGTCGCGCAAGCTGCACGGCAAGTACAACCCGGCCCGAGAAGAGCACGCCCTATCCGCCGCCTACTCCCTTCCGATGACCCACGCCGCAAAGGACGAGCGGCTCATCTGAACGCGCATTAATAGATAATTGACTTTATAAGACGACCTCGGGCCCGGTTACGGTAGCTTGGGTGAATTTTAACTTTTTAACCTAAAATTGGCTTCTAAAGATCCTGAACATCTCCAAAATCTCCAAAAATTCGTCTAAAAACTCCAAAAATGTCTCACAATTTAAAATGTCAAGAAAATGCTAGCGATTCTTGAGCTTGTCAAAAACACCATTAAAAGCTACTGTAATCCTGGGTCCCAACGGGAATTTTCTAACCCCACTACGAGCTTCAAAAAAGCGTCTTTCAAAAAACCGCATAAATTTTCCGCAAAACCCCCCGATTTTTCTTTCAACGAATTTTGTGATAATTTCTAACAGCCGTAATTGTCATTTTTTGGTTTTTATTTTGTATGTCAGTCGATATGTCGATTTGTCCGGCCCCCGCCCCTTTCCGACCCTCACCAACAGAACGCGCCCCCACGGGTATACGGTACACGCGTTTTGCTGCGCATTTTCAGCCACGCCCCCTGTTTTCGAGATTTTTAAAGGGATTGTGAAAGTAAAAATCTATAGCCCGACATAGCAAAAAAAATTCTACTTTTTAGGGCATTAACCTCAAATTTTCTCGTTTTTCGAAAATGGAACACGAAAATGCCGCACAAAAATATTCTCAATTCTTGTAAAAGCCAATCCACAAATTATGCTATGTAAATTAGCCCTAAATCTGGCGTTAGAAAAGCGGAAAAAGCAGACTTTTGCCTTTTTAAAAAAAGAAAAGCTATTTTCGGCACCAAACTCAGAAAAAAAACTAAAAATAAGCTAAATTCTTGTAAAATTTAACCCATTAATTACGCCATTTAAATCAGCGCTTAATTTAATGTTAGAAGAAACCTAAAAAAAAATTTTGCCTTCTAAATCCCTTTAAAAATCCTCAACCCCACCCCTCCTTCGCTTAATCGGTTCCTCGCCATGAGGGTTATATCATTTCCTTGATATCCAATCTTTCTTACTATTCTACCCCCCGAAATTTGCTCAGCAAAAGAAACCACAAAAATTCTTTCATCCATTGATCGTTATTTTTGTAACGATTTCTCTCGTTCGTCGCGCTCGGTGCCTTTTCCCCTGTCGAATTTCCTTCGCTTCACCATCCGTATTTCACTTGTATTCCCACTCCATTAATAAATTATACTAAAAATTAAAATTATTAAGGCGTTTTCGCTCTCCGGGACCACACAAGTACTGTACAATACGACGTGCTAGGATTTCGCGTGTGTGTTTCTGTTTATCGAAAATAAATTGTCATCAAGTTTCAACATATGAACACTTCAACTTGAAGAGAGAGAGAGAGAGTGAGAGAGAGAGAGAAAGAGAGAGAGAGAGAGAGAGAGAGAGAGAGAAAGAGAGAGATTTTGAGCGGGGGGAGAGAGAGATAGAGAGACAAAATTATAATGATGGATATTTATCGCATCTGTAAAGGGCGTATTTGGAAGGAAAGTAATTCAAGAGTTCGAATTTCCACAATGTCCCTAGCTCGTCACGAACACGGCCCATCATCGGCGGCTTTTGCTGGTGGGCATCCTCGATGGTGTCGTTGGGGCGGGCCGTGGGCAACTCGTTCTGCTGTAAAGGGCGTATTTGGAAGGAAAGTAATTATTAGAACGACAGAGAGAGAAAGAAAGAGAGAAAGAGGGATAGCTTGGTATTCTAAAACGCAAACTGTCTAGGTTCCTAGACCATGCTAACTAGCGCGGATTATACCCTTAATTGACGCTAGTAAGGCAAAGGTTTTCAATTCTTTTGAACCACTTACTGCCTGAGGTTCCGGCAGCTGTGGCAGCTGTAGTTTAATTTGGCGTGGCTCGGGGTACTACGGCTTGTGCTGGTGGGAATGGCCGGTGGTGTCCTTGGGGCGGGCCGTGGGCAACTCGTTCTGCTATAAAGGGCGTATTTGGAAGGAAAGTAGTTCAAGAGTTCGAATTTCCACAATGTCCCTACCTTCTCACGAAATTGGCGGAGCGGCGGATCCAGGAGTTTGTGACGCGAGCTCGACACCGGGGCATGGCTGATGGTCGGGTCGGGGCGGGACTTGGTCAGCTCGATCGTGTGCTCTTCCTTCTCGACGACGATCCCCAGATCGATTGCGCGCTGCAGGCGACAGTACTCGCAATGACCTAATACGGAGTTTTTCTGTATCATACGTAGATCGTCTCGAAAAAATAATGCTATAAAGAATTTAGAGTACTGTTCTATTTAGGTCGGGGGAAACACTGTGCTGGGGAAAGTTGCGGCCACTTCTTTTTCCCCATGATTCTTTTATAATACGTTATTCTGAGTTGCAATTAAAACTCTTCGTATATTTTTTGATGCTCTTTCGAATGACGTTGAAGAAATTATGTAAAAATACCGAAAATGTCGAAAACTAGCCTCGCCTTTAATGTTCCCATGTGGAAGCCGTGTTTAAACCTTGTTTTTCCTATAACTCTTTTATATCATGTTATCTTGAGATAAAATTAAAACTCTTAGTATATTTTTTATGGCTCTATCGAATCGCGTCCCCAAATTATCAAAAAACTAGCGAAAAAATCCAAAACTGTTTTTGGTTACAAAGTTTCAAAAGTTTCAAAAGCAATTGTTGTGTTTGCTTCAACTTTTTTTATATTACAATATTTTAAGCTAAAAAAAGACTCTTAGTATATTTTTCGGTGCTCTATCGATCCCGAGAAAATAGCGAAAATATCGAAGTGCTGCCTAATCAACCTTTCCCCCCGCAAGTTTTTTTTCCCCCGCTCGAAATAGAACAGCATCGAATTTAGGTAGGAAAGACGATGTGAGGTTGATTTTTGCTAAAGGGCGAACCCGCTCAAGGGCTGAGCGGGTTTTCCGCGATCCCAGTCATCATGGCCTGATTTCTTATCCCGGAGCAGATTCAAATTCGTCTCTGGGCTCTGGCTTGGATCTGGCCACCTGAGTGAATGCGGCACTGATAGCATTTTGGCAAGAATTATGCAAATTCAGTACTTTAATATGTGGGTGGGGTGGGGGGAGTCAGGGTGGAAAAGTCGGGAAGCGTTTTGCAACCCTTGTTTTAAGTGAACTCACTGTCCACCAGCGGCGATTCAGCCGGAGGCCGGTTGGCAGGCAGGAGCCGCTCCCTGGAAACTCCAAACATAGACGGAAAGGGACGGTAGTTTTCCTTGCAACGCTGGCTCTTTGCGCCAGAAAAAGCCCAAAGAAAGAAACTGTCACATTCTTACCGCTCCAGCATGTAGTTCTCGCAGACAAACGTCTGAAGGCAGGCCACTGATCCGAGCTTTTTCCTCCTGCAACGGGCAGAAAATTAGGAAATATTAAAAAAAAACTCTACTGATTTTCGTTATGGTCGATGCTTGCTTTGATTGCTACCCGGGATTCAGAATGATACATTATTGTATCATACCTTCCACGAGACCTTTGTGGTCATGTACAGTTAACCGGGGGAGGCATTTTTAGCAGGGGAAAAACCAAATTTTTCCAGGATATCGTACGGCCCTATACGCCAATTATAACAATTTTTAAAGCATTTTAAATAGCTGCAGATTAAAACTTGTAAAGCAAACGTTTTAAAAATCCCGGAATTTTCCGGTTTTGCCCCCTACTTTAGTTAGCAGCTGCCGTAACCTGGTATTCTAAAACGCAATCTGTCTAGGTTCATAGACCAAGCTAGCTAGCGCGGATCATACCCTTAATTGACGCTAGGAAAGCAAAGGTTCTCAATTCTGTTGAACTACTTACTGCCTGAGATTCCGGCAACTGTGGCACTCGTGGATTCCGGCGCCCCTGAGCCAACGGCAGTCATCAGCCATCCTCGAGCAGTTGCCGCACTAAATGAGATATATTGAACCTCCCATAAACAACGTCCTCTGACATTTCGCCGTCTTACTCAATTCAATAAAACGGCGCCAAAATTTGAACAGATTTGTATAATACCCAAAAAAAACCACACCTAGCCTAACTTTACAGCCCGCTGAATACCGTAGTTTTCGAGTTAATATCGAAAAATATTTTTAACTAAAAATATTTCTGGGTAAAAAAACAACCATTTTTTTGACCAAAGTGGCGCAAATTTCGGCGTTTTTTTAGTGAGGTACCCTGTATATAATGGCCAAGAAGCAGCGCTTGTCATCTTTTGCGCTTTCAGAAATATGTAAAGTGATAATATCTAGGGTTATGACAGGGGCAGGATTGGAAAGTCACGAAGAGGCTTTTCAACCCTATCAAAACGAATAGCCATAAAAAATCTTAGCAATTTGTGGGCATTTTTAGCGCCTTGAAAGACGATACACCCCTCCCCAAGCTCGCAAAAAGACCCCTCTAGCGGCTCGAAGGAGCGATAAGTATATTATCCCGATTTCCACAATTTCGGGATTTTCCCTGAATTTACAAAGGTTTTTACTGGTCAATTTCCGGCGTTTCCCCATGTTGTTTGCAAAAAAACACGATTTCCGAACTTCATTTTCCAGCCTGACGGCATGTTTTTGAAAGTTATCTGCCAAAACATAGCTTGGAGGGCGCCTAACCAGTACATGGAATTTTTGGGCGAAAAGGTAATTTTGGATTAACAGTGCCGAAAATCAAGCGAAATACAGGGTGTCCCAAAAAAAACGAACCATCTGGCATTTCGCCGTGTTACATTCAATCGGTCCCAAAATTGGACCAGAGGTGTATTAGACCTTAAATAACAACAATCCTGAGTTATCGCCCTGTAGCTACAGTCGTTCTCGAGTTATAATTAAAATACTGTTTTTCCCAGAATTCTGAACGGTTTTTTCGGCTATGTTTTTGGACTGTGCATCGATTTGCATCGGCTTCCGGCTACGAATCCCTAATTTCGCTTAAGATTTGGGGTAATTTTGTGTTGTAAAAATCGCTTAAATCGGAGCTGGTTTGGTTAATTTTAATCCGGAAAAAAATTTTTAAGGTAAAGAAGGGCTACCGGATCAATTTCACTTAATGTTTAGGGGGTCAAATTCCACGGAAACCCTATGAAAAATGGAAAATAAAGTTTATTTTTGCCATAACTCGAGAACTACGATAGCTACAAAGCTATAACTCAGGATTATTGTTATTTAGAGTATGATACACCTTTCATCCAAATTTGGGGCCGATTGGATGTAACACGGCGAAATGCCAGATGGTTCGTTTTTTTTGGGACACCCTGTATTCCAGGAAGTCGAAAATCGGAGAAGACTTATCTCCGCAGCTGGTACGGAGCTCGATAGATAACTAGATCGTAAAAATCGGACCGCTCGAGGGGTTTCTTTTGCGGGATCCGTTATAAGCTAGAGTCTAACGCACCCGGTTCACGGCGGCGACGATGGGCGCCGTGATGTTGGGCTGCTCTGTCTTCCCGGTTGACGGCAGCTCGTTCTGCTGTAAAGGGCGTATTTGGAAGGAAAGTAGGTCAAGAGTTCGAATTTCCACAATGTCCCTACCTTCTCACGACCACGATCCATCATCGGCGGCTTCTGCTGGTCGGCATTCACGATGGGGTCGGTGGCGCGGATCTTGGTCGAGTGCTGTAAAGGGCGTATTTGGAAGGAAAGTAATTATTAAAAAGACAGAGCGAGCAACATAGAGTGAGTAAACGGAGGAGGAAAGAGAGAGAGAGAGAGAGAGAGAGAGAGAGAGAGAGAGAGAGAGAGAGATGAGAGAGATGTGATTGGCTGGATTGCGAACATTACAAGTGAGCCGTTATCAACTACCTCATTGGCCATTTTTGGTGAAAACTCGACGGTTGGCTTTCCGGGAAACCAGTATGCCAGTATCAGCCCTCGGATGTCCTCTTCGATCCTCGCCTTGTGGTCCAGGATCTTGTCGCGGATCTCGTGGGGGACTGAAAACAAAATTTGGGGCTGCTAACAATAATATGCCCCAATAAACTTCGAATTGGTATTTGCAAAATTAGCGAAATACGAAAATCGGAGTTCGTAAGGGAGGACCCCTATCACTTTTGCCCAAAACAATTGCTGCCTGCGGCGCTTTTTATAGATGGCTCAAGCCGATTTATAGCCACCATTTTTGGTTTCTCATTTTTTTGGTCATTTCTTTCCAATCAATTTCTTTTCACAAGTGGTTTTTGCCTCGATTTTTTCAATGATGGCGTTTTATTTGGCCTATTTCGGAAAAATTTAACCCTAGTGGCGCTGGTTTCCGAGTTTTTAGACCGTTTTCGGCTGCTCAAATCCTTTTTTTCTACCAATTTCTAAAAGTGTCGACGGGGGGGGGGGGTCCGAAGTCATGAACTCCCAATTCCGGCAAAGGATACCTGTAGCGGGCAGCAGGAACATTGATGTTGCCCTCGACTGCGACCTTCGACCGGCCGATTTCGGGGTCTTGATACGTGGAGACCGTCATTGGCCCGACGGCAATCCATCCGAGCCGGTGGGCGAGCGATTGGCGGAGCTGACCCAGATTAAACTAAGAAAGCTTTATTGGGATCTTTCAAGGTTTTTACCGAGTGGCCGGCGTCTGGAAGGAAGAGGGCGTTAAAACGCAAAAGCACTTTGTTGGCGACGAGGTTGCTGATGGCCACCGATCTGTGCGCACGTACAGCCGTAGAGCCTGCAACCAGAACTCATTTTTCTACGACGCAGGGGCGTACAGGGGTGTAATACTGATAATCGGGTCCTTAAATAAATAAGGTTGCTCAAAAATAATCAGGGTCCTTAAAACACAAAAGTTGTTTTTGAAACATAAAGAACGCTACAGCCAAATCACAGGGAAAATTTCACTCCCCGATATCTCTTCTGGACAAAATTTGTAATATTTTGAAAATGGCTAGTGGACTTTACGGTATTTTTCGCTATTCTCTTCGACTCAAACGTCATTTTAATTCTATATCGGTTATTTTCAAAAGTTTATAATGGTACAATTTCGGGTAGGTACAATTGATGGCGCTATTTCTGAAAGCCAGAAATGCCTCAGGAAAGTTTATTTTGACGGTATTTGTAAAACTGCCAAGTTAGCAACTAAAATGAAAAGTCCGCAGGATTTTGATATCGAAATCGGATTCCCCATTGCATAATGGACATAGAGTGAAATTATCACAAAATCGAGAGCTACTTTACTCTATCTCCTAGAGCCTAAATTTCAGTTAGTTAGCTAGCTGAAATTTTGCCAAATTACCATTCCATCCCGACGCGCGCAGCTGCCCGGTAGCGAATGCCCCAGAGCCGCGAGCCGTGGTGTTTTTCTACAACGCAAAACAACTGAATATTCAACAAGCACTGACCGTTTGCATGGCTGTGGACCCGAAAAAGGATGATGGATGCCCTGTGTATGGTAAACCATATGAAGTATAATTTGTTTCATGCTAATTTGCAGGGGTGTATGTAGCTATTTCCCCAGCCAAAACTAACCACTCGAGGGACAGTTCAGAAAGCTCGGGTGTTTACAAGTCACGATGTGATTCTGAGAGACATCGGAAATTCTTCAGGAGAATCGACAACTATAATAAAGAGGTTGCGGTGCCCGTCTGTCCGTCCGCCCGAAGCCGAATTCAACTCAAGGGGGAAAGGAGCTAGAGCTTAGGTCTGTTCGGATTCGGTTAGAGCGCGGTCAGAAACCCCCAAATTGATGGAAAATTTTTTGCGGATATTAAATGGCTCTTTAGTATAACAGTTGGAAACGGATGTTTCCCACTTTCACAAAACGTGCGGGCGCGGCAAAAGACAACGAGGACGAATTTTCACATCAGGTTCGGGTTTTTGAGAGCCACACATCAAATCCCAGCATGACAATTTGCCCCAATATGGGATTCTAAAAAAGTGGCCGTTTGGACGACGTACTGAAATTGCGCGCGTGTTTCTCTACGTTCGGAAAATCAATAGTGATGAAACTTCCATACAAACAGAAAGAAAAGAGATTTATTCATCAACGTGAACACGTAAAAACATTCAAACAAGAACCGTAATTACAGGTGAGCAGGCGAGAAAATACCAAAAAAATTACAAGAAAACTACAGAATCGTGGGGACTAGCGCTAATAACAAGTGACAAACATATACATATGCGTACGGAGGTGTGGCTTTATTACTTGATTTCCTTGTCGCGGAGGCATTTGCGATGTGCGTCGACGAGAGCCATGCACGATTCGCGGCCTCCCCACATCGCCACGCAGTCGTTTAGAGCCTGGAAAAGAAAGATTAGGAATGAAACGACGGGAACATTTATATTCATGGTTTCCGCTATTCCCTGGAAAGTGAATTTTTGAGTCGGAATCTATTAGAAATGTTCAAAACGTGGATCGATCACTTGCCTATCTGTTGCCGAAAACGAACCAGCAATAATCAAACCTTCATTCTATGCACTGGAAAAGTCGAAAATCCGACACGAAAAACCACTTTCCAGGCAGGTACCAAAAATCAAACGATCAATGACAAAACTCTCAAAATTAAAGCCCCACGAAAAAACCGACCCTTTTGAGTCATGGCGCACAGCTGAACGTGTTGTTGAGGGGCTGCGGGTAGGGCAAGCGGCTGAAGATGCTGGAGCTCTGGCGGGGCGAGCGGCGGCTAAAAAGCCATAAAGAAATCTTTCTGAAAAATGGTACCTCTTGCTCCTTGACTGCTGAAGTTGTGGCGCCCATCTTGAACTATTCCTTCTGGAAAAGAGCATATATCGTGAAAAGCTAAAAAATCCAAAAACTCGAAAGGCTCTGGGTCGTTATCGGTATCAAACCTATTTAAATTAATCACGTTATGGTCAAAAATGATATCTAAACTCAAGCAAAACGAACAATCATTCGCTATTTTAACGTTAATAAAAATCTTTCACAATCCCGCAGTTATAAAAACCACCAAACAGACAAGAAAAATACAGTATACGCTATTACGAGACTTGACGAGGCGCACTCTACGAAAGTTTACTGCAATTTAGACATTTAAAAGTCTTACAAGACCATAACTGTCCAAACTGGTAAAAATAAAAGAAAATTACTTTATCCTGTTATTATTAGGCAAGAATAGGCCAACCCTAGAAAATAAACGCTTTTAGACGCCGGATAACGTTCCAGCAGCACTTGAAAGCACGCTTCGAAATAAAATAAACTTTAAAAATCATAGCCTCAAAATAGGGCGTAAAAACTCGTCCGAACACTTCTCCCACTCACTAGGTTTATTTGCACCAATTCACAAAAAGCATCACACATCACATATAGTAAAAACAGCACACAAAAATATGGGTAGTTGGGGCAAGTCGGGGGGCCGCATGGCGTCTCATTCCCACTTCTTGAATTCCATAGAGTCCGGGGGTCTAAACGAGAATTAACAAGCAAAAAAAGGTTTCTTACTTAGTTTCAGTCTTCTGCTTGCTGATCTCGTCCCAGTTTGTCGACAAGACGGTACCGTTCGATTCACTAAAATTAAAAAAGATAAAAAGCCACAAAAGTCCGAACCTGTAGCTCTTCATCATGGCCCTTCGCACGTCATCGTTCGCGTTCGAGTAGATGTTCTTGAACATTTTGTCGACGGCCGCCTCGCCGGTTGCCTCTTCTTCTTCGCGTTCAGCTTCCTGAAAGAAAAACAAAAAATACTCGCCAGACTAGTAAGATACCTTTTCAATGGCATCCCAATTCTTCTTCGGCGCTTGCGAGCTGGCGGCGGGTGCATCTTCTACCTGGACGAGCGCTGGCCATCGGCCTGTTGTTGTCTTGGGCATGCTGATTTCGACCTGAAAATAGAAAAATCGGGGCTGACTCTTTTTCCTAAGAGTCTAGAAATGCACAATAATGTAGTAGGTAGGATTCCGGTGCTGGAGTTTTATCGGGCCCTCAAATATTCACTTTTGTAAGCAGAAAAATCTAATCTTAGACGTCTACAACCTTGATAAAAATCTGGGTACTAGTATACTTTGGGGGGGCCAAAAAATTTTTTCGGCCAAAATTTCTCATTTTGCACTATTTTGTTCAGTTTTTCATGCTGAATCGAATGCACATGTTTCCAGATTTTTTATTATTGCAACAACATAAGAATTAGGCAACAATAACAATTACTAGCAGGGGTGGATCTCCTTTACATGCGACCAGAAGTTGAAGAATAGATCGCATGTTTAGGATTAGGCTTAGGCTTAAGCTTTGACCTAGGCTCAGGCTCAGGCTTTGGCTTAGACTTTGGCTCCCGCTTTGGCTTTGGCTCAGGTTAGGCTTAGGCTTATCTGCGGCTTGTGCAACGGTATACTACTGAAAAACTATTGAAATTACTTGTAATATAAATAGTTAATTATTACTAGAAAACATGATCTAAAAAATCTGGAAACACTTTCATTGGATTCAGCACGAAAAACTGAACAAAATAACGGAAAATGAGAAATTTTGGTCGAAAAATTTTTGCCCCCCAAAGTATACTAGTACCCCAAACTCTTTTAAATTAGCAAATATTAAGCCGTTATTACCAGGAGCGCATAAGCTAAGGAAAGGGAAATGGCTTGGGCCCCCTATAAATATCCAGCACAAGAATTTTCATAATTTTTTAAGTCAATTTAGCTATTTGCTAGCCAAAAAACTGTATAGACCGCTAAGATTACCTTCGCCGGCGTGCATTTGACGACAAACTTGCTGGAATCGACGGGCGCGACCAGCGTTCCGCCCCATATAGCATCCCCTTCCACGGTGATTGTCAGCGTGTTGCGCTCAGGGTCCAGCAATGCCTAGAAAAGCAATAGATCGAAAAAACATAAAAATACGAACTTTACAAGCTTCGAGTGCGACGCCCCGCTTCAGGATCGTCAGCGTCACGTGGGTTTCGGTTTGGAACCAGTCGTACCTGAACTGAAATATTTCTAAAAACAAGCGGAAATTACTTGCAATTGCTTGTCGCCATCGGAAGTGAAGAGGGGAACCGTTCGCTGGAGGACTGAAAATGCTTAGGATTAGAGTAAGTTGAAAACGTTGAGCTGAATGGAAAGCAGCAAGTTAAATAATGTTCAGGTGGCGAAACGCGCCGACAAGCTCAGATAACGATTCTCAGAGATTCATATAAGAGAAACGAATCGTTTATATCGATGAAAAGGTAGCGGATAGTTGATAGTTAGCAAATGTCGTATGGTTCTCACTCGTTTAACGCATTATTTATACGGATTTAGAACCTAAGAAACCTCTTTCTATGTACAACGTATGCTCCGATGCCTTAATTAGTATTTAGCAGAGAGTTTAAGTTGATTTTTATTAGTACCCCAAAATGAACGCGCAAATCGCTCCACGCGAGCCGTGCGACATCTTGCTAATAGCCAGGATTCTAATACTATCGATAGTTCCTAATTAATAACACTAATAAGGAAACACTAATAGTTCTTAACGCTCGAATCACTTTCAACGGCCCGCAGACAAATCTGAGGGCCGGAATTGCGTGCCGTTTTGGCCCATTCGTCCAAATCTTTTAGGAAGCAGTATCAGAACAAGGAAAACGCAAGCGAAATTTATCATTTTCACTAAATTGGAAGTTCGATAATTTTTTGTTTTCGAATATTTTTCAGCAAAACTCCGTTGTTTTTCTCAATTTTCGAACAATTTTCCCTGGGCGGTGATGAAATGCCGGTAGGGCGCAGGGTAGCGGCGGGGATAGTAGCGCTTCGTACTACCAACGAGGGGCTGTAAATTTATTTTTATTAAATTTTAAAGTATTTTTTAGGAGTTTTTGGTCATTTTCTTAGCTTTTAATGTATCCATTTAATATATAATTGAAGTTCCTGTGGCTTTTGACTTTTCTCGATAGCTGTATTCTTAGCAAATATGTATATTTTGAATGCGGGGTGTTTTGGCAGATTTTTCGTGGTTTTATAGCGTCAACGTTTCCCATATAAGTTTATTCACACAAAAATCACCTGATTTTCTTTTCAATGGACATTGTAACGGGGTAGGAGGAGGAGGGGGGTCACGCACGAGAAAAAAAAATTGAAATTTTGAGATGAATGTTGGGTCGCGGGACCCGATCCCCATTGAGTTTTTGTATACAGCATATTTGGCTTTTAGGGTCAAATAAAAGGGGGCGGTGGTGGATCACATTATTACGAGAAGACTAGTCGACTGGTTACCATATAGATATAGAATTCCTAGCATAGGATAAATATCGTTAAAAAGGCGATTTTCTGCGTGAAAACAGGACCGAAAAATCGTAGAGAATCGGTGGATACATAAAAATTACCGGAGATTTCGTAATTTCTTGCAAAAAGTAGCAATAATAAAAGTGTATAATGAAATTTCGGTCCTTTTGCATTATCGGGGGACCTATTTTCCCTAAGGATCTAATTTTCCAAGATAAATAGAACAAGTATTTTAAACTGTTTTTTTTTACTGTTCCTAAACGTAAAACTTTACAAATTTTGAATAAAAATATAAAAAATATAGATTTTTCGACCAAAATGACGAAAATTTCAGGTAAAAATTTTTTTGCGAATTTTTTGTCGTTTTTCCACTTAAATTATAGTTAAATTTCGCTAAAACACTATTAAAACATTTCTTAGTAATTTACTAGACATTTCTGGATCCTTCGAAAAAAGTTGGTCCCACCGATAATGCAAAAGAACCGAGAAAAATTCACTAAACTGATGTTGACTAACTGGGGGCGAATCAATGGGGGGTTTCGAGTTGCTTCGCTGCCGAATCGGGGGGTATTTGAGGAGTATAGAATTTTTGTAACAACGTGATAGATATCTGGGCATTTTGGGGATTGAAAAACGAGTAAAAATAACTTTAAAAACTGGAAACTGAATCTCATGTTTTGCAAAAACGAAATGCTACGTTGTACTACAAATGACGGGGCGTAAAAATTGGTAAAAAGGGGGATTGTTGGTGGTGGATGGCCATTCCGCACACATTTCCTCACAAAAAAAAAATAGCAGGGGGAATGAGTGGAGGAAATGTGGATCGGCTGGGTGTCGTCTTCAGGGGAACTCGCTGGGTGGTAGAGCATTTTGAACATTCTTCTCTCGCCACGCACACGTTGATCTGGAATTTATAAATTTAGATATAGTTTTTTGCTGTTTTATTAATAACTATATCATTTTTTCTTTATTTTTATCATTGCCATTTGTTAGATTTTAGAAAATTTTTGTTTTAAAGGATTATGAAAGTGAAAAAAAGCTCATTTCGACCTCGTAATCGATTAGCTATAAAAAATTCCTAAATTTCCTCGATCATGGAGCCAACTTCTTAGCGCTTTTTCCATCTAGAATTTGCTGAGGATTGAGCGTTCCACTCTAATGCACCATTGCAGCGCTTGATTTCATGTCGTAATCGGTTTTACTAGCCTTTTTTACGTATTTTTCATACACAAATTTTTCAGCCTAATTCGAATTTTTTTCTGGAACCTATAATTTCGAGTCGTAATCGGTTTTGGGAAAATATCATTTAAACCTACCGTAGCGATCAGCGCTGTCGCGTGGCACGTCACGCGCGCTATCAACCAAGATAGGCGCAGAAGAAGTTCTCGTCGTTCTCGGCGAGTTCCCGTGCAGATGGCTCATCCGCGTACCGTCAAGCTCTTTTCATACAGAGCTCCTGAAGTGGATTATATGATTACGCCTTTAAACCGCGTCCAGCAGCAATTTGAAAGGGATTTAGAAGGTGAAAAACCAAAAACTCATAAATTGACTTGATTTGGGGCCTCAAAAACGCTTTCAAAGGGACCTAGAAGGCAAAATCTAGCCTAAACCTGTCAAAACCGCCAAAAAAACCCACTTTCACGAACGGGTCGACCTCCCAATTCTTGAACAGCTCCATCACCTGCATGTTCTCCTCGTTTTGGGCGATGATGTTCTGAAAAATACGTAAAATTCGAAAGGTGATTACAAAACACACCTGTATACTGGCCGTCATCATTAGTAGCGAGCCGTACTTTTGGACGCCCAACGGGATGCCGAGCTTGTTGGTGATGAGGGTGAAGAGGGCGGAGAGGTACTTGTTCCGCTCGTCGGCCACCTCTTCTTTCGCTTTTTGGGAGAGGTCGAGGGCGTCTGAAAAAAATCCAGTTTAGGTAATTCTCTGGTTACTCGGGTTTCATTAGCTTTTTCTAGCTGTTTCCTCTCTCACACCCTCTCTCTCTCTCTAACTCTCTCTCGGTCACTCTCTCACCTGGATTAAAGAAGAATGCGGCTTTAAACGTGGCAAATTCCGCCTCGGTGATGTTCAACTTCCGGAACGGGATCATGATCTCGTCCATTTGCCGGGGGTAGATCAAGCGACAACCGGACAGTTGCACCTGAAAAATGTAATAGATGATAGCGTTATGTTACGCGGCGCTCCAAAATACGTCAAACTGAAAATACCGTACCTGTTGCTGAGGTTCTCTCAAAATGAACGCTCCATTTTGGTAGACAATCTTGTCGGGACCATGGTCCGGGGAGTAGAATACTCGATTGAGGAGGTTGAAGGTGAAGGCAAAGTTTCGCACAAGGGAGAGCTAAAAATATATTTAAATTGTTACGTACTTACTAAAAACTGATAGAAAATGTTTTAAGTTCAATATATTTGAATTAAACACCAAGCAAATAAGCTAAAAATTCGACGATTCCGATACCTGATCGTTAATCGACAATCTTGTGAACGCCTCGAACGTCTTGCCCCACTCGATGCAGATGCGCATCTCCCGAATGTTCCACATACGCACGTCGTTCATCGAGGCTGGGTAGAACTCCTTGAAGACAGTGGTCGGCTGAAAAAATTGGAGTTTATGGTTTTGTTCCACCTCCCTCTATCTCCCACTCTCTGTCGTTCCCTCTCTCTCTCCTTCTCTTTATTCTCTCTTCTTATCTCTCTGTCTCTCCCTTCCTCTCGCTCTCTCCACCAGATTTCCGAATTTTGACCGCATCAACAGTTTTTATTTTTAAACCCAGGCACCCGTTCATTGCTTTGTTAATTTCAAAAGAAATTCGAGCCCTCACTCTACCCCATGTTACATTTCAATTTGGAGTCGACGACCAGACCCAGGCCGGGCGGCTCAAGTTTCATTCAATTTGGTCACTGGCCAGAGCAGCGAGCAAAAAAATGTCGAAACTGCGTGTTTTAGGTGAGTTCATAGATGATATGGGTTTTGGGTTTAAAGGGCTGGTGAAGCCGGGTAAAAAATGCGGTATTTTGAGGTTAAAATTTAAATTATTTAGGGTTGTGGCAGGTTGCCAAGAGCTCCAAATCGACAAATTGGCTTATCATTGTTTTCCGGTTTTCGGTAAGCCTTAAAAACCCGGAACTGAGCCAATTCTGCTTTCCCCGTCGCTTCAATCCTGTTGTTTCGCTCCTAGTATTGTTCGGAGTCTCAAATCCTCAAAATATAACTTTTCAACAACTCCTTTCAACCGAGATTCCTCCTTAAAATCCATAAATATGTGGTTTCCCAGGCTCTTTAGAACGGAATTCACCTCAAAGATTTACACTATCTGACTTCGCAGTCCCTTTAAAGACCTGGTCCCCCACCCCAAAACGCCCGCACTCATTTTTGAACGCCACGATTTCGGGGGAACCCCCTCCCCCATTGGCCTGTGGTTGTGTGGGTGGTGGTCCCCTAGCGATCGAAGAACGGTGGCAAGAGAGTATTACAGGGGGAGAGAGAGAGGGCGAGAGAAAGAGAGAGAGAGAGAGCGAGTAAATAGACACTATGGGAGACACGTGTCCACCCCACACCCAATGGACCCCTTTTCAACAAATTGTGCGAAACGGGCAAAAAGAGGCGAACGGCCAGGTCTCGGTGTTTCAAAAAATGTGACAACACTTCTGCTGCTTTGTGTTTTTGTGTTTTAAAGCGGGAAACGCTCTAGCGAGGCTTAACCGATTACGATATGACCTTTCGGGGATTTCTTGCTGTCACGCTTCGTTTAAAATGTTGGAATCAGGCGAGAGAGCGCGAGAGATGGAGGAAGAGGGAGAGCGAGAGAGCGAGGGACAGAGAAAGAGAGGGAGAGCGAGAGAAAGAGAGTGAGAGAGAGAACGAGAAAGCGAAAGAGAGCATCAATTAGAGAATCAATGAGAGAGCGAGAGAAAGGGCGAAAGAGAGAGAGAGAGAGGGAGAGAGAGAGAGAGGAGAGAGAGAGAGTAAGAGAGAGAAAGAGAGAGCGAGGGAGCGGAGGTTGGGTTGCCTTTCTTGCGTTTTTAAACGATCAAAATCTATCGATTTCCTATGGCTCACGAATAATGACTCACGTCATGCTTGAGATCCTTGGTCCGAAAGAGCATACAATCATGCATTAGTGCCTGGTTGACACCGTTGACATCGGGGAGTACGCAGTGGCGGAGTTCTTTGCAGAGACCCTCTACGTGCGTCAGGTTTTCGACGATTTCCTGAAACAAAATTGGTTAAATTAGGCGTAAATAGGAATGTAACGGACTCGCGGGGTTTGGAATTGAGGTTAGGTGGTGGGAATGCATGGCAAACTTTAACGTGTTGCGTTACATACCTTAATTTTCTAGTTTAGCATATCGAATTAGTACTGTATCGTAGCTAAGCCTTTCTATCAAGCGATAAGCATGAGTAAAAGGAGTCAAGTAAAACCAATCGCAAATTATGGAAATAGGGATAATTTCTCAGAAATTTATAAATAAAATCGGAATTTTTATTATAGCCGGTGTTACGATAAATTTTAATAAAAGTCCTTAAAAAACAGCTAGGAAAAAGCTCGGGACCTCCGAAATTTAAAATGCGAATTTTCAGATTTCTTGAAGGTGCTAGGTGATAGGAAAATATACGCATCCACACACAAAGTGCCGAATCAAAATAGACGGATTTTTATGCAACTTTTAACTTTTGGGACGTTGGGAAGTCGAATTTGCATAAAAACTCAGGTGCAGAGGGTCACGCGGGGTAGGGTACGGGATTTTTTGAAGGTTTTTAACCGCAAAAAAATTCAGAAAAAATTATTTGGGGGTAGATCGTGCGTTTTTCAAGGCTGGGAAATCCAGAAAAAATACGATGAAAAACAGGGGTAGAGTACGGTACCTTGAGCGGGGCACAAGAACTGACGGAGGCCCCCAGCAGACTCTCGAAGAACGCCTAAAAAATTGAAGATAGGGGGTACGGTAGCTCAATAGGAGTATTTTTGATAGTTTTTTATTTTGGACAGAATAGAAAAGGTGTCTCGTCAACCACAAAAAGGTGCGTGGGGGATGAGAGAAAGCGAGAGAAAGCGAGAGATAAGAATGGGTGAGAGAGGGCAGAAAAATATGCGGTACTTTAAAGGGCCCGGGAAGGCAAAATTCAATGTTTTTCCTTAAGAATAAAACTACAGTAACGCTAGTCAACTTGTAAAATTTCTGGTTTCTGATTTTAAAAGCCATAAATTCAGCTTTTATATCTTTTAGGGCTACTGTGTTTTCTTGAGCTATGGATTTTTGCCTTCATAGTCTCTTTAAAGTACCGTAATCTTTTCTGGAAATTCCGCATCAGATTCTGCGAAGCCAAATAATTTTAGAAGCCGTTAACCCAAGCCAGCCGAGGCGTCTATAGTAGCCGGAAGGAGCAGGAAGAAGCTAATTTCCTACGAATTCAGAATTTCCACAATGAGCTCTGCTAGTTTGCCTTGCTCGAAAGATAGAAAAACCTTCTTCCTGCTCCGTTTCTCTGTTAAAGATATCGGCAAGTGATAAAAATCGAAAAAATTGCGAGAAACCTCTAGAAATCTCTCTCTCACTCTCTCTCTCCCTCTCTCTCTGTCTCTCTCTCGCTCTTTCTCTCTCTCTATCTATCTCTCTCCCTATCCCTCTCTCTCCCTATCTCTCTCTCGCTCTCTCTCTGTCTTCACCCTTTTCTCTCGGCTATTCACTTGCTAATACCTTTAAGCGACTCGGTTATTCACCTATCTACCCCTCAAAAGTATCGTCCCCTTACCTGATCACCATTCCTGACCGGCGTGACAGCATTATCCGAATCACTGCCCGAGCTGCCCATTTTGCCCTTTTTCGTCGGCCCGATCCGATCGCGATCGTTTTGGATGGCTGAAGAAGAGCCATTTTGGATCGCTAAACAGCCGGGGTGTACAGGGGGAAAGTGCTGTACGTGTTGTTACGCCCCGGGGTACGGATCGCCGTCTTACAAAAATCAGAAAAATGCGTCTAAAGGAACCAGGAGTTCCGAAAATCGACCCTTTTTGTCGACGAGGTCTCGATAGCTACGCTTTACTTTCAAAAACGCTTCATAGAGTTGGATTTGCAAACTAAAATTTGCCAAAATGCCCATTTTTGCGTAACTGTTCAGACCTAGTCGACGAGGGGGTCGATTTTGGCGCTTCCTGGCCCTCAGGAAACGTAGAATTCCATAGCGATCCGTACTCTTCAGCGTTCCCTTATTGACACCCGGATTGAAAAGTAAAAATTA